CAGCGACTTAAGACTGGTTTTGTGCTCCAGGGTCACATATTTCATCTAAGCACCACTCCCAGCACCGTAGGTGACTAGGATATTCGCTGACAGTATACTGCTGTTCAGGTACTTTGAGCTCCCGTTTTACCCCCAAGCGAAGAACAAAAAAGAACTTTGCCAGAGCCTCTACCTAGTAGATGGATCTCGTCTATGATGAGAATAGCCACTTTCTGCACATAGCTGCGGTTCTGCCAGCTGCGGCTGACTCCATCCCATTTCTCTGGAGTGGTGACGATCAGGTCAGCCTGTGCGATAGCTCGCATGTCTGGAGTAACGTCACCTGTTAACTCAACCACCCTAGAGAGAGCGAGTGTATGATAATGAGCAAACAAAGGTCAGGGTATAATAACAGATACATATTTGTCCGAAGAATCTATAAACACTCTCACTTTCTCCCAAGTTTCTCTTCTATTCTGATCTTCCAGTCCTCAATCCTCTCTCGGACCAGAGCTTTGAGAGGAGCAATGTAGACCACCTGCTCACACAGATACATGCCGGTTAAACCATCTCATAAGAACTAATACTAAACCCCAACAGATGGCAGAGGTTCAGACCTTGGAGGTGGGGTACTTGTTGAAGACCCTGAAGATGGCCATCTCTGCAGCGATGGTTTTGCCGGAGCCGGTGGGGGCCCCCAGCAGGACGTTGGTGTCCGTGTGGTAGAGTGTATGGAAGATCTGCGTCTGAATGGGATTAAAGTGCGTGAACTTGTATAGACTCTCATACTCCCGGTTTCCTAATGCAGTCACAGGCAGCGGCTGAAGATCCAAGAGCTCTGGAATGAAGCAAATGAGAATGGTAATCTACAAAAGAACATTTGCATGGCTTCTCCATTATAAAGCACGTGCATTTGCATTGAGTCTGAAGCCTGAAGTTTATTTCACATGCGGTCACTCAAACATGGTTTTGGGACCACTGTGGTTGCCTACACAAGGAAAAAAGGTGACATCTACCTGTTGCTCGCATGTATTCTAATGCTCTCACTGTGGTGAGGTGATGATGTAATTAGTGGCATTTGCAAAGCAAGCAACACTATTACTCACACTCATAAAAAATAAAGAGGTTTTCACAGCGATGCCATGGAGGAACCATTTTTGGTTTTTAAAGACGTTAAAGATTCTTCATGGAACCATAGATGGCAATAAAAAAAAA